CTGCTACTGAAAGCACCCACTACTTGTTGCAGAGGGAAACAGAACACGTAGGATCGGAGACATTGTGTAATAATTATAAATGCACAGCAACCACCACAAAATTAATAGGTGCATTAACAGTGATATATTCATAAATGTACACCAAGTACCACACAATTCCTAGTAGCCCCCAAACTTCAGAGCCAGGTAAAGTACAGTCCATCACACTGCATTTCTGGGGCTGACTATTAACGTGCTCTTTCAATGCCTCCATTAGCTGCATAGCTCTGCATTGAGCTCTTTTAATAGCCCTGTTGTCCAGCCGTTCCATCTCAGCAAACAGCCGCTCCACCTCTACCCTCCATCCCAGTGGCGACTTTTCCCCTTTGCCTCACAGGTATTATGCAGGACACAACAGGCAGCTATAACAATTTATTTTTCTCACTGAGATCCAATCTCGTGATTGAACACTGCCAACATCCCATCAGTCTACCAAAAGCACATTCAACTGTCATTCTGCACCTGCTCAGCTGATAGGTGAATCTTCCCTTGGGACTGTCAAGGTGGTCGATGTACGGCTTCATGAGCCATATGAGCAAAGGGTAGGCTGGGTCCCCCAGGATCACTGTTGGGATTTCCCTAGTGCCAGTGGTAATCTGTTGGTCAGGAAAGAATTTCCCTGCTTGCATCTTTCTGAACAGTCCTGTCTTCTTAAAGATGCAGATATTCTGCACCTTCCTTGACCAACCAACACTGATGTCTGTGATGATCCACAATGATCCACCAACACGTGTGTAACCGTAGAAAATTAGCCCTTTCCGTTAATGTACAGTAAAACCTCAGAGTTATGAACACCAGAATTATGAACTGACCAGTCAACCACACACCTCATTTGGAACCAGAAGTACACAATCAGGCAGCAGAGACAAAAAAAAAAAAAAGAAGAAGAAGAAGAAGCAAATACAATACAGTACTGTTAAACGTAAACTACTAAGAAAGTAAAGGGAAGGCAGCATTTTTCTTCAGCATAGTGAAGTTTCAAAGCTGTATTAAGTCAATGTTCAGTTGTAAACTTTTGAAAGAACCACCATAACGTTTTGTTCAGAGTTACGAACGTTTCAGAGTTATGAACAACCTCCATTGCCGTGCTCTTCATAACTCTGAAGTTCTACTGTTCACCATGGAAAGGTGGGCTGGTGCTAAAATAGGGATGTATGCCATCATCTATGACCTCACTGCAGTTTGGGAACCCCATTGCTGCAAATCTGTCCTGCACTTTGCCTAGAGTCACAGTCCTGCTTAGCAGTTGATGATTAATAGCCCTGCACATTTGCATGACAGTGGCCCCCAATGGGGATTTTTCAATTCCAAAATGATTGCCCACTGACCAATAGCAAGCTGGTGTTGCACGCTTCCACAGAGCGACCACCATTCACTTCTCAGCTATCAGTCCAGCCTCATTCTGGTGTCCCTGCACTGGATGGCTGGAATGAGCACAGCACACAGATCCAGGAACATGGCCTTTCACACCCGAAAGTTCTGCAGCCACCGGTTGTCATCCCTAACCTGTATTACGATGGGATCCCACAAGTCAGTTCTTGTTTATCACACCCGTAATCTGTGCTCCACTGTCTATAACTGCTCCATGAATGCCACCAACAATGCTAAATTGCTTTTCACTGTGTTCCACAGTGATCCATCTGCCACAAAAGCATCATATCCTCCATTGCTGCAGTTCTTCCTGTGGCTCTGCAAATACTGGAGGATGTATCATCTGGTGTTTGCAACGCTCATGACAGCAGTGCAGAACTGTGCAGACTCCATGCTTCAAACAGAGATTGTGGACAGTGAGAAGTGCCGCATGGGTTTGTGGGATTTTTTTTTAAACATCTCAGAAATTATGGGATATTGATGGCATTAAGGGATGGAGACAGTTGTTGGATGGGACCTTGACTCCTTGCTTATAGTCACCCTTGCACAACTGCTCCACCATGCTGTGACTGGAAGCACCCCTCTATGCCCACTCTATACACTATTGTAATAATCTTTGTAGAAAATATGCTTTGGTATCATTTGAAAACTAATATCTCGCTGTTCAATAATGTCATTGTGAAATGTACATAGCAGCATTATATATAAAGTTATGATATCTCCCTGTATGATTATTAGCATATGTTCAAAACCACGCTGGCAAAGGTTATAAAACAGGTCTATCCTAAAAAAAGTAATGTGTGTTAACCTCAGTTTACATATAAGTAGTAAACAGGGCCAGCAAGACAGCAGGGGGAGCAGGTGGCAGGAGACAGCAAATTTGTATTTCAGCAAACAGGTGGGGGAGAAAGAGCATGGAGCCTCCTTCCTCACCAGACTCCGTGTCACCTTCCTCATCATCTGAATAATCTTTGCTTTGATGGGTAATCTTCAGAAGAATCCACTTCAGAGGTGGTTTGGACTATAAAAGAAAGGAGCAGAAAACCCCAAGCTCTCTCTTTTTCACCTAAAAAGACAAAGGCACGTGCACCTTTGAGCCTCTGGGAGATCCTGAGCAAGGAAAGGGTCAGTCACTATCTTGCTGGAAGATGGTAGGTGAGAGGCCATCTTAAACAAAGCCTTGAACCAGAACTTGCTGGATTGTTTTAGTCTTTTAGATTCATTTTCATTTTATTTGTTTGTAACCATTGCTAACTTTATCTCTTATACGTGAGTTCACCTATCTTCTTTTGTTTGTTTTATTTTTTAAATAAACTAATCCAGGGCTATGTTTAAATGGAACTATTTGTTAACTCCAGTTAACATAGCAAACTGTTGAATGGGGCAGTGATAACTTTAAAACTGAGCTGTCCTGGAAAGGACTGGACAGTGCAGGACACATTTTGGGGAACATTCGGGACTGGGAGTGTGTTCGGTTCACCGTACAAGTGGTAACTAAAGCTGGTGGAAGCCAGTGTGTCTGTTGTGTTGCTGGCAGGCTGCTGGGGTCAGAACTGTCGGACCACGGCTGCAACCATACACAGACACTCAGGGTCTGACCTGCCTGCTGGTAAGCTACTTGTGAGCAGCCCTGGTTGGGAGCTACAATAGCAAAGCATTGTGAAGCGCCCAAGGCTGTGGGGCAGGTGGTGATACAACCACTCACTGGTTTGGATTGCACCTCATAATGTGACATGGATATTGTCAACATTTCCCAAAAGTCAGTGTGCCGTCCGACAGTAAGTTGCATGCTAGGATACCTACCACACTGTGAATTGACATAAGCAATCCTGGTGATCATGCGCAGCACCAACTCAAATAGCCAAGTATGCAAGCACACAAGCGATATACTAACTGCAGCGGCTTTATGCCAATGTAACTCACATTGACCAAAGATTGTAGTTTAGACGTTGCCTCAGCTCTCTGCATACTTCCCATGGCCACCAAGTGGGCAAAGATGGCATGGAACAGGATGGGGTAGGGAAATAAGATAAATCCTTTCAAAGTCTGCAGTAACGTCCTTCCTTCCCCAGAGCAAAGAAGAACAGGGATGAAATTGTGTCATGAAGCGAGTTTTGGGGCACAGTGACTCCTGGGCTACAAGTGTGGTGGTGTAGTTCACAAACAGGCCTTTGTTTAGGATTGTGCCAAAAGATACAACCCTAGCACAAAGATTTCAGTGAACTTACTCTGGATTTAAACTGGTATAACTGAGATCAGACTAGCCCCAGGTCTTTGCATAGCCTGGTATCCATGGTCCCCTACACAGCACTTAATCTTTGTTTGCCTGTATGTATGTCTCTCTTCAGACAATTAGGGAAATGAAAAGGAACATTTTCATCCTATATAGGGAACAAAGGACTGTGAAGATATTTCAAACCCTCGCCTATGTTGAACAAGTCCAGTCCTGAAAGTTTAATGAAAACAGAATCACTATTTCTTCTTGCTGCAGGCATAAAACTTCAGTGGGAGTTAAACACATACATCAAGAGAAGAATAGGCCTATGTGTTGCTAGAAAGTTTTCACCACAGAGTTAAATTTTACTATTGCATTTTAGATTGTTAAGAAATAAAGCAGTTCAAAAAGGTAAAATGAACCAAAATCCTGAAGCTTGAAGTTTCCAGTATAGAATTTTAAAAATAAACTTTTAAATGTTTGCAAAAAGAAAAGGAGTACTTGTGGCACCTTAGAGACTAACAAATTTATTTGAGCATAAGCTTTTGTGAGCTACAGCTCCAAGGTGCCACAAGTACTCCTTTTCTTTTTGTGGATACAGACTAACACGGCTGCTACTCTGAAACCTTTTAAATGTTTGTATATCCGCTACACTTTGTGTAAACCTGTAACTTTAAACAATGTTCTTGAAATTCTGTGAAACTATTTCACTCACTGGATGAGGCTCTTTATGCCAAAGAAAGGATGAAACAGATCTCTAACTGATTGATTTGTAAGCCAGTGAAAAAATTGAGTTTATATGAGAAGAGCTAACACATCGTTAACTAACTGTGATCCTTTTGAGTGCTGCTTCAGTTTAACAATATAACTTGTTCAAAAATGGTTTGCAATAGACATCAGACAAAGCTGCTTTTGGAGCTGGGGGAGGAATTTTGAAACTAAAGCATGTCCCTTCACAATGAGTTCTTCTCAGTTACCCACGACCTGTCAAAATTTTCTGAGAAGCAAAATACCTGGGGTTGTTGACTTTGGTTAGACTGCATTCTGTCTACACTGTAACAATAAAATACTTTCTTTCTTTCTTTCTTTCTTTCTTTCTTTCTTTCTTTCTTTCTATATTCAGCTAATTTACTGTTTGTATTTTTTAATAGACACTGGGTTCTATTTAAATTAGGGATATTGGCATCCAGTAAAAAGACACTCAACACATAAGAGTTGGTGGTTTTTTTAATAACACTGACTTTCATTTCATTATAATGTGATGTATTTATCATGCTTTTCTGCCATTCATTTGCATATGAAAAACCCTCATTTTTGCATCATCATGTACCTTCTCTGAAAATAATAATTAACATGAACTTCTTTGACTGTGCAGAGCTGGCTATTTGCCTCAGAATATTCCTCTGGAGATTATCAGATACCTTTCCGAGGAGAAGGATTTTCTGCCTTGGCATGCTGCCAGCCGAGCTCTTTATCCTCTAGATAAATTGCTGGACCGCACTGAAAACTACAACATTTTCAATGTAAAAGATATATTCTCTTCTTTTCTATTGTCCTGAGATGAACTAGTCCCCAGTCAGTTATTGTAACTGATCTCGGGATAGTAACTTTCTTTCTAATTATTTTGTGTTTAAATGTAGCAATTGTCAAACCTAGGTTCATTTGCATTTGAACAGTGATAAGGGCTATTTGAGGCATATATAATGAGTAGAAGGAAACTTAGCTGTTCTTCCCATAAAATATTATGACAAATAAGTTGTTTGTTAAAAAACAATGCATACCCCAAATTCTATAGTTCTCTGGAGCCACTGGACTACACTTTCATTGAGGCCCAAAATAAGCATGGATAGAAAATGTGCTCACAGAATTTAGAAGGATGCATGCAGTTGAAGTCTATATTGTTAGTCATTATTTTCATCCTGAAAGGCATAGTGAAGTCAATGCATTTCCCTTAATTAACAAGGGTTAGATCACAATTGAGTCAAAAACCCAGTCATATTTGGGACCAGGGGAACAACAATAGCAGCAAACAGTAGATAATCCAAATAGACATGAGAAACATTTTAAAATGTTACCTGAAAAAATGTTGCTTAATCTTGAAGCTTTTTTGTTAAAAGGAACATTCTTTATGACACAGACTTTAATCGTATTTATTAACAATTATAACCTGGATTACGCCTGTGTACTGGCAGTGAATTTTATGTACTCTGCATAAATTGAATGCCCAACCAGGTGTGCATAATTTTATAGTACAGTTGAAATGAAGAAACTACATAAAGTCTGGTATATTTAAGGAGACATTTTTAAAATACACCCAGATACATGCTGGCATGGAGAATTTATATAAGAAATATATTACAGATTAATAAAGAAATACTGGAAATGTTTCTTCATGAGCCTATGATCTGGATCTAGCTCCACACCAGACAGCTCTCATGTAAAATTACACTTTTTGTCTTCCTAGTCTATCATTACCTTAATTGAAAAATCATTATTAAACAGTCATTGCTGTTTCACTTTTAGACATGACTGTATAAAGAGAATACAATTTTAATAAACAAAAATGGTAAAATTAATTTCAGGGTTGTGTTTTACCACTACTGATTCTTCCTGAAATCTGAAAGCAGAGTTGATGGCAGAAGAAATATAAACTCATTATAGTCACAGAATAACTTATATGCTTGAGAAAGCTATCCTGTGCATCTCCTTTGGTTCTGTCATCACACACATATGCACATGCATCCATAAAAATAAAATGGATATTCTCTTGCATTAGTTCATTTCAGTTCTTTTTTTCAAAGCAGTGAATTCCAGTGGCAGAAAATTATGCTGTGAGTACAGTGACAATAGTCTACTTCATAACTTGTAACTGAAAGTAAAGATGCCTAATGTGCAAGATGTGAGAGTAAGATAAAACATGTCTTGTGCTGTCTTTGATATTTATATACAGCAACAGCTAAATGGACATTGAAACAGTGTCATTAAATAACCCAGTCTTGATATGCAGCACACATTGCTCAGTATTATTAGATCAGTTGGCTGCACCTGAGTAATGGTTTCGCTGTAGCTATGAAAGTAAAGATGATCATAGCTAAGGCTACGATTTGGTCACAGGTGTTTTTAGTAAATGTCACGGACAGGTCATGGGCAATATACAAAAATTCATGGCCCGTGACCTGTCCATGACTTTTACTAAAAATACCTGTGATTAAATCTTGGAGGGGGTTCTGGGGGAGCATGGGGGGCTACTGCTGGAGGAGGACATGGGGGGTGCTGCTGAGGAGGACTGGGGAGCTGCTGCTGGGGGAGGTGTGCCCAGGGCCAGCGGCACTAGCTGCAGAGCCGCAGACTGCAGCTGCTCTGGCCCACTGCCTGGTGACCACTGCCAGGGGCTGCCAACCACAGCTGCTCCGGCTGGGCAGCTGGGGACCACTGCCTGAGGCCGCGGACCATGGCTACTCTGGCCATCCATCCCGGGAACGCTGCTGGGGGCTGCCAGAGCAGCAGCTGGTGTGGCTGTCCCAGGGGCCACCTGAGTAGCTGGCCCTGAAGCCCACTGCTTGGGCAACCCTGAGGTCAGCCACAGTGGCCCCTGGAGAAGTCACAGAGGTTGCAGAAAGTCACAGAATCCGTGACTTCCGCGACCTCCATGACAGACTCGGAGCCCTAATCATTGCTATCAGTTATCTCACTACGTATGTGCTAAGTGTGTCTCTTTAAATGTTTAATGATGGCCATTATTCAAACATTCATTGTGAAGTCAAGTTTGGCTTAGCTAGAGTAGGCATTAGCCTGTCCTAGCTCCAGTAACTCTTCACCTTTGTACTGTGAGTTAAAAATACAATTAAAGTAAATAATTTATAAACTGCTATATTCTTTATCATTAAATTGGCTAGCCCAGTAGACCCAGTCATGTAGCTGTTCTTGTAGATTCATCTTCCATTGAAGTAAAGAGTGGGATTGCATACAAAAGCATTGCAATACCAGATCCAAATCAAAGCATTTTGAAAGTGAGACATTATTAAAAACATCAACAGTATTTCAACTTTGAACTGAAAAATCAATAATAAAGTTTAACTCTGAAAATATATTTAACCTTTTTTTTTCTTCCAGGAATATATTTTAAAACAAGTTGCAACGATGTACCTCAAACTTGGATGGCCAACAAATAATTTAAACAGATCACTTGTTCAAGCTGCCTACCAACATGAGTACTGTTATATTTCTTTATTAATTTTCACAGGAGATAGTTGTAGTAAAGTGCTTTCCCAATACTTAATATGAACTTCAGCATCATGAGATACCTTTCTATCCTTTTCCTCCTTTCATTTCTCCTCACTTGAGGGGGCTAGGTGCTGTGAATCAGTTTCCTCTGCTGGAATTTTGAGAACAAAGACATGTTCTTGTGAAGCTTTAATTTAAGTGCTGGCTCCATTGGAGACTTTGGGATTTGAACTCATGAGGCCATTGAATTTAGTAGGGCTGTGTGAATGATCCATGGCCTTTAATTAAAAATTGTAACTGTAACAACATAGTACTTAGTTGTTACTCAAAGATATACAGTGACCAAATCGTTAATGTTTTTGTTTAATTAAATTTTAACAGCTCCTTATAGGGAAGGTTAGAATATTTTCTTCTGAGAATTTCAACACACTTATTTATTAATTGACCTCATTAGTGTCTTTATTTGTGTTTTGGACTAACCCAGAGAATTGCGTCGAGAAGTCATCATGTTGGCCTGCAGCTTTGGTAATAAACACTGTCACCAACAGGCTGCAACGTTAATCTCAGATTGGATTTCCAGCAATAGAAACCGGTAAGTGGAACAAAAATGCATCTCTCTTCCACCCAACTCAGAACTATTATAGTTTGAGCGTGTCTCTTTAATACACACTTTTTGCATACAGGTAAAAAATGAAGCAGAAATCACCAGCTGTTATTTAAAGCATCGTTGTGAGGCTGCAGAGCTAGAAGGGGTGGGAAAGATCTCTTAGTTCGTGGATGCGGCAAGTGGAGCCTGTGTGGCCTCCTACACCTCCTGAGAAAAAAAGGAGGTTGAATTTAAGGAAGGATGTAATGGAAGAAAGAGAGGACGCTTGATAGATGAAGACAGGGATAAGGACAACATGACAGAAGGTGTGAAAGGAGGAGTGCAGCAAAAGGTTTGAGAAGACCTGAAAGAGAGAGGGAGGAAAAGAGATGAGGAAATGTGGTAGAGGGGGATATTATGTAGAGCTTTGTAGGTCAAGACACAGAACTTGAAAGAGAGGCAAGAAGCTAACAGAGAAGGAATCGGCGACCTTTGTCACGCAGCCCATCAGGGTAAGCCCCTTGGCAGGCTGGGCCGGTTTGTTTACCTGCCGTGTCCACAGGTTCAGCCAATTGCTGTTCCCACTGGCCGCAGTTCGCTGCTCCAGGCCAATGTGGGCTGTGGGAAGTGGCGTGGGCCAAGGGATGTGCTGGCTACTGCTTCCCACAGCCCCCATTAGCCTGGAACGGCAAATCGCGGCCAGTGGGAGCTGTGATGGGCCAAACCTGCGGATGCAGCAGGTAAACCGGCCGGGCCCAACAGGGAGCTTACCCTAGTGGGCTGCGTGCCAAAGGTTATCGATCCCCTGTAATAGTCGGATTCAAGGAGGGGTAATTAATAGGAGCAATGGGGGGCATTAGCAGCAGTATAATGGACAGGCAAAAACTATAGGAGGCAAGCAGACCAGTCAGAGACTTATCTAATTCAGGTGAGAATTGACAGAGCATTGACAATGTGCAAAGTATGTATATAAGTGCAGAGTATTAATAAATAAAGTAGCATGATTATTAAATCATGCAGTTATGCATGGAGAGTAAGGCAAGTACAGTTGAGGACCACAGCTTTCTTGTGAAAGAGTCATCCTTTTTTTCATCTGGTGGAAGGCAGGAAACCGGTTTCCGCGTATCACAGGATCTGATGTTTTGTTTCTAGGTAAAATATTTGATTTCAGGTGAAGTTTTCAAAAGCACCTAAGTCCCATTTTAAAAACTGAATTAGGCACTTATTTTCAAAGGTATTTGGGTGCATAAGGATGTCAAGTGGGATTCTCAAAAACACCTAAGCAGTTTAGATGCCTAACTCCCACTGAAATCAAGATGATTTCCCATTGAAACCTGCTTAGGCACTTTGGAAAATGCTACTAGGTGCCTACATACATTTGAAAACCTGCCCCTAGGGAAACATCTGCTACACAGCAAGCAGAATCCTGAAGCAGCAAGTCTCAAAACTCGGATCTACAGCTCCTGGTGGTAAAAATGGCTGTGTAAACATTGGGGTTGGGCTTTCAATCCTAGGGAGGGGAATGAACTTCTCAGCCCAAGATCCAGCCAGAGCCCCAAAACCAACACAGCTATTTTTAGTGCTGTAGTGTGAGCCCAAGTTTGTAGAGCCAAGCTCTGAAACTCGCTGCCACTGGTTTCTGCTCGCCATGTAGACATACCCTTCATGACTTTGAAAATGGGATTTAGGGCTAGATTCACCCTAAGGGAGTTACAGGTTTCAGAGTAGCAGCCGTATTAGTCTGTATTCGCTAAAAGAAAAGGAGTACTTGTGGCACCTTCGAGACTAACAAATTTATTTGAGCATAAGCTTTCATGAGCTACAGCTCACTTCATCCGATGCATTCAGTGGAAAATACAGTGGGGTTAGTCTCGAAGGTGCCACAAGTACTCCTTTTCTTTTTCCTAAGGGAGTTAGGCATTGCTTTTAAGCACCCTGCTGCCTAGTGGAATTTACAACCCCAAGTGAGGCTGAGGCATCCATGCTTCTCAGACACTGCATGGGGAGAGTTAGGCGCCTAAAATAGAGATTAACAGAAGCCATCAGTCAGAACCGAGAGCTCCCTAAACCTCACACCTCAAAGGGGGTTAGGCATCTAGCTCCAGGCTGAAAGGAGGTGCCTGTCTTTGATCAGGATTCTCAGGAGTCAGACCATGGAATGGGGGAGGGATAGCTCAGTGGTTTGAGCATTGGCCTGCTAAACCCAGGGTTGTGAATTCAATCCTTGAGGGGGCCATTTAGGGATCGGGGCAAAAATTGGGTCTTCGTCCTGCTTTGAGCAGGGGGTTGGACTAGATGACCTCCTGAGGTCCCTTCCAACCCTGATATTCTATGATTCTATGACACTTAAGTCAGGTCAGTCCTTTCACATGGAGGTGCTCCCTCCCCTTATAGCCAAGTGGTTAGGGAACTCACCTGGAAGTTGGAGATCCGGGATCAAGTCCTTGCTCCAAATCAGTCAATGTGTCTCCCACCTCCTAGGTGAGTGCCTTAACCACTGTTTGGTATAGGCGTTTACCACCACCACCTATAGCGTATGGATTGGATACCACAGATGAGAGAGGCAGAAGGATGCCTAGTTTGTGAATCCTGGCAGGGCTTAAGCATGAACTAGGCACTGAGCAGCTCAGTGGCATCAGGACTTAGTCAGCTTTGTGCATGGCCGCTAGCAGAAATATAGGCACCTAGGTAACTTTACCAATTGTAATGTCAGTGCTATAGACTTAGGCGGCAGCTGCATGGTGGTTTTGTGAATTCCATTGGTGCCTAGATGTTGGATTTAGGCGCCTAAAGTGGCAGGTACGCACCTATGTCCTACTTTGAATCTAGCCGTTAGGCTTGAAAAAAGTACCCAGAGTCTATGAAAATATGCCCCAAACTCCAAAAAGAAAGTGTTATTAAAGGATTTATCAGGTTAATTCTGTATGAGGAATCCAAGCGTGCACATTTTGAAGTGAATCCTTATCAATATCAAAATTAAGAGACATCAACAATGCTAGATACATAGTTATTCAAAGAAGAAAATACAAAGAGAGAATCACAGGAAACAATCTGCAAAAGTAATTTACTGAGATACTCACTTGCAACAGCAAAATTAGTTAATCACATTTAATAGGATCTATTAAAATGCACAGCAGTAGATAATACAATGTATAAAAGCTGTCACCCTGGAAAGCCTCCCCCTCTTCCCCTTTCCCCCCAAAGGACTAGAGAAGAAGGAGGCATCAGAAAAAAGCTTATTGCTTTGTTAACAATAGCGAGAAAGGAAAGGAACACATTTAAGGAGCCTTCTGAAAATTAATCTTACCTTTTCCACAAGGCCATTCTTGGGAGCCCAAGATTATGACTGCTGGAACACAATGAATGTTATGATAAAGGTATCAGAGCAGGGCAGAGGAGGAGAAGAAATACCAGCCAGTTAAAGCAATACATTTCTGTAAAGAAACTGGACAATTTTGAAAAATAGCCACCACAAATAATGTAATTATGGAACAGGGATTGACATCAGATGATAAATAAGGGTGCAACTTGCAAAGAAGACAGGTTTCTTTTATTTATTTCGTAAGATTATAAATTCAGATCTTTTCCCCAACCCCAGAAATTGCCATTTGCTGTTTTCAAAACAGTCACCATGTTTGAATATGACTAACACATTGACAGGCTGATACCATGTCTGCTCATTGTGAAAAGGCATCATAAATGTCACTTATTGTAGTTGAGAAACTTTCTGCCATTTTAGCAGCTTAGCATTCATAAAATTAGCTTATACTTCACAGTACCGACATTTATATAGATTCAGCAATTTTTTTTTTTTGCTCATACAGTAGTATGGCTATATAATGGTTCAGGTTTCTGCCATATCACTGGGATTCTGTTATTACCAATAATAATAACGATTCTGTAATAAGAATTTAGTTAACATGGTGTGTGAGCCAGAACAGAAGCCAGAACACACTCCCTTAGCTGTGTTGGCTAATATGAGTATAATGGGCAATAAAGTACAACTTGGAATACATACAAGGAACAGATATTTAATTAGGTGCAATTTTTATATTTGTGATCATAACTGTACTTCACTCAGTTTGATGCAATATTCTTATAACATCATGTCCTTAAAAGTTATCTTTTGTTTTGTACTCTCAGTTGCAACCATAGTATCTCTGTACCATTCTCTCTGCATGCATCTTCTCCTATAGAAGGAGAGACTGCTGTCTTGATGGCAGCATTCCCTTCCTTTCTCCAGACCATTTTGACAGTTCTCCACAGTGCTAAGAAAAGGCCACTGGAGGTAGAGATATGCATCATCTCTCCCTCCACCCAGTGTTAACAACGAATGAAGTTAATACAGCCAGAGGCTATATTTACTGTTCTTAGAGAATCATTTCCGCAAAGCCGAACAAAGTGGTCAAGCACTTGCTGGGAAATTCCAGGCAATACAGTTGCAGTGGGGTCACATTGCCAAGGAACCAGGGCAGAGCTACAGAGGGCCAAGAGCTGACCAAAGGAGGCAGAGGATCTCTGCATAGGTGCCCCACTTCCCTCAACAAATCTCCAATATCAGCAGCATTTGTGAGTTGGCCTCCCAGTTTGTCCCCTAGAGGTTGGGCAATGCTACCTCCAATAAGAGAACTCAAAAGAAACTTTGAGGGAAGCTTACAGTGTTTTCTGTCTCCTTTGTGGTATTTCCACATATGAGTACAGTCTGACCCAGAGTTTGCTGAATACTATAGTAAAATAAAGGCAATGTTGCAATGTTTTGCCCTGAATGATCTATTCTGGAAGCTGGAGTGGCTAATCCAAAGAGCTGATTTACAAACAATGCAAATTGGGAAGTATTGAAAATTCTTTGGAGCATAAGAGTACAAAAGAATACCAGGGAGGTAGATTGATATCAGTCAAATGAGATTCAATACAAATATAAGCTAATATTAAGTTAAACTTTTATGACTGTGTAAATTTACAGGCAATGGAACAAGTTGCTAAGAAGGCTATGGAATCTCCATCAC